CTGTAGGGTGGAACAATGGAGGTCTAAAATCACTTCTCACACCTTGACTCTGCCTCCTACTTCTTGGAATCACAGTAATGACTTCCAGCATCTATCTTCTAGGTAGTATCACACCTGGTGTCCTTCCCCACAACTCCGGCAGGTCAGAGAAATTAGAGGTTCCAATCCTTGTGCTACCCTCTTGCAATTACTGTGTAAAAGTGAAAATAAACATAATTGCAGCACTAATAAAATAAAGATTAAATTTAGTGCAGTTGTACTGTATGTACTGTACATATTATTTTTTATCCAGTCCTTTTGGATCAGATTTCAACCCACTTTTCACATTTCAATTACTTTTTGTTCTTCTGGAAGTTCTAAGATTTAATCTGGGGCTGATTTAATCTTTGCTCTTTTCTGTTCCCAAATCCATTTCTTCCTTGTCTCCCTTCTCCTGGAGTTTTGCTTACATTTTTCCAAAGAAATAAAACTTCATCTTCTTAGAAAGAGAGAAGTTGAAGGCCTTTTGCTTATACTTACCCATGTTTTGAGCAAAATGTTGGAGATATATCCTACATTTAGTTCCAGCATTGGGTAGGGTTTGATTAGATACCCTAGAAAACCTTCATCTCTTATGATTCTGTGGATCAGGAACAGTATGAAAGCAACCCAAATTTCTAGACAGTTATGATTTCTCCAAAATAGTTGAAAAGATATTGTATAGTTTATAGTAGTAGATACATATATTGGCTGATCTGAAAGTTAGTCCTTCTACGGTCAAAAATAAACAACCTGATACTAAATTATCTTGCCAAAATAAAGAACAGATGGGAATTGTATCTCCTTCCTAAAAGACATTTATTGATAGACTTTTAAGCACAGGAGAAAGAAGTGCAGCAAATTGGAACACCAAGTATTATAAATACTTGCAGAGTTGCAGTAGCTGTAATTCTTTTGTAATGGCTTCACTGTTTTGCTACAATAAATCTACTTTTCTGAATGTTCATGACCTAGGTAATACATTATTGCAATGCTTTGCCTTGACAGCCAAGAGAAGCATGACAGCTGTGTCTTGACTGTAATATTATTTTATATTACCTACATTCTTTCTTGTCCTAATTTGGCTGAATGCTGAATAGCAATACAAGTTCCACAGTTTCTATTAAGCACATTAATCCACCAATCAGTGGGAATTTCATAGTATGGATATCCATATTCAGATTATTTTCCCTCTCTGTTCAGATCACAGTAATAATTTTAAGCATGTATGCAAGTGTATGTGTTCTTGTGAAAAAAATATATTTTATATTTGAGAGTGCTAGAAATGCTAGAAATATATAGGGTTCTTTTCACCTTGCTGAGTTGTCTACTTTAATACCAAAGTACAATTTTTTTTAACAATGAAAGTTGCTACTGTTCGCAATGAAATTGGTAAGCACAGGATTTATGATTACAACTATGATTACAGCTATGGGGCATTAATGCACAAGTAAATGTCAGGTTGCCAATTTATAATGCTTTATAAATAATGTTCATTTGCAGATCTGTACACACAGAGGAAATTCTTCTTGCACTGTGATTTAAAAAGTAAAGAGTTGTAAAGAACTATATGGAACTACCATCCGGGTGGTTAAATCCCAATTTAAATCATGATTTAAATCACTAGTAAAAAGGCTTGATTTAAATCAACTTGATTTAAATCATAATTTTTAAAGAGCAACTGTTATCTCTGTCCTGCAGTGGCTCCTCTGACCCACTGTTGACTCACTAACAGTCCCATTCACTTTAATGGGATGGCTGGTAATGCGGCAGTGACACAACAAGGTGAGGGATGTGGCGGGCAACAGGTAAGTGGATGCCCACTAACAGGAGCTGTCATGATGGTTCTGAAATGACAGATGATCTTTAATATTATATTTATAAGCTGCTTAGAAGGTTTCACTTTCATTTTTACTGCTTGCCCTTCCTCCTCACACTTAGAGCCTGGAACCTAGAAGCATTTCTCTTCAAACAATCATACAGTTTATAGTGAACATAGATTTGCAAAATAGTGGGATAAAGGAATATTCCTGAACTTTGTTTTATGATTTATCTCATGGTTACTGTGAAATTTTGTGAATGCATCAATGCAGTGCATGTTATCTCAGCTTGCAGAGCTTGGATTCATTGACTGAGGTTACAAAAAATGTAAATATTGCAGAATATACAGCCTCATGCTACATAACTAAGCTCCATTTCATGCTGAATAAACTAAATTATTAATGTATCTTAAATAGTAAACTATCTTTAGATAGATTTTTTTACTCCAAAAGCATTTTATTAAAATAAATTTTTATAAAAATAAAAAAATCCAATTTTTAATTAAAAAAAAAAATCATTGATTTTTATCCACCCTGACTACCATAGTTTCAAATGAAGTTTCCGTATGTGAAGAATCTGAAAAGTAGATACTAATGTTCTAAAAAGTATTGACCCAAATGGATGTTCAGGAAGGAATGGTGAACAGACAGGAGTAAAAAAAAAAAAAACAACCCATGAACTAAGTCATCCCTCCAAAAGAGTGGAAACGAAGTGCTGTGGATTCTGGAATCTTCCGAGACCTGCACTTCTGTTCTCAGTCCTCATGACTAAACATATTAATCTTCTAAAGAAAAAAATGATTGAAAAGATGATACAATGTGGCCTAGTGACTAAAGGATGATGACAGTATCTGGTAATGATCCATTAATATTAAAAGGTCTGCCTGGAAACAGCTATTGATTCTGCAGCACAGATATCTTGGTTGTTCCCTCTGGAATCTTCCTTTTTCCCCTCTTAAACTTCCTAGCTTCCACAGAAGATGCTGGATGTGGCTAAACTGAGTGCTCACTTAATTATTCATATTGAAAACAAGTCTGGAGGTGGGCCTTGGAGGCTTAGCTCAGTTATTCAGATATGCAGGGAAGGCAGGCTTTCTTTGATTTTATGCCAGCTTTTGTAAAAGGCATCAAAAATATAAAAGGGGAAAAAAAGACTTGAATGTTGTGGTCTTCCTTTTGAGCAGTCTTATATAATTCTGGAATGTTATGACCTCTCCCTGGCCAACATTAGGGAGAATTCAAGTTTGCATTTTTAAAAACTAAATAATTATCAGAAAGATGGGCAGAATTGGTTATTGTTCCTTATAGAAAGAGAATATCCACATAGACTCTGCTCCTCAAAAGAAAAATACATGACAGAAACACTTGCCGCCTTCTTGTTTGCAGCTACAGAGGACATAAAGCAATGGCTGCTGTTTTCCAGTGACGTCTTTGTCAATAACCTTTGTGCTTTGTTCAAGCAGCTGTCAGACCAACTTTTTTGGAGGCCCCTAAAGCTGTTCAGCCTGTCATTTGTTGTTGTTCTCTTCCCCGCCCCACTCGCCCTCTGTCCAGTTGCTGGTCCATGGCTAGTCAAAAAATACTGAGGCTCTCTCTAGAAAACTGGGTCATGGGGGCATCTGCAAAGTAACTAGTACCACAGAGACTCTTATTAAATATTCCCTACTAAAGTAAATGTTGCAATATGATTCATCAGTTTTGTTATGGACATTTTGCTTTTCAACTGCCAGAATGTAATGTAATGTATCCTACATTACAAAGTGCATTGATAATAGATTTTATTAGTTCTCATACTTTAGGAAATTCTAATGTTCTCCACCTCTTTTGAGACTGCAGCTCAGAATTCCAAACCCATAATCAGAAAAGAGTCAGATTGGTTAACAATCCTTGCAACTGCACTCATACCTTTGGAGGGCACTAGGGAAGGCATAAATATGTGAATCTTTCATATATTTAATATATGAGAACACAAACAGTGGGACCCTTCCACACATACAGTAGCACTGGTAATTTTGCAGAGATTCTGGAAACATTTTGGGATGTTTTGGATAGGCAGATATTTGAAGACAATTTATTACTAATTGGCAGGCAAATATATTTATATCGTTAATAATTTCACTAAAGTTTTAAATTTTAATGAGGGTATTGACCATAGTTTATTGAGTAAACCACCATTGGCTGTATTCATGCAACACTGGGTGTCTTTGGGCCAGTCAGTCTCTCTCTGCCCAGATTGTTGTTGTGGGGAAAATAGGAGGAGGAAGGTATGTTGGATATATCCAATATCTCAGGGGTTGTCACAAAGAAGAGGGAGTCAAGCTATTCTCCAAAGCACCTGAGGGAAGAACAAGAAGCAATGGGTGGAAACTAATCAAGGAGAGAAGCAACTTAGAACTAAGGAGAAATTTCCTGACAGTTAGAACAATTAATCAGTGGAACAACTTGCCTCCAGAAGTTGTGAATGCTCCAACACTGGAAGTTTTAAAGAAGAAATTAGATAACGATTTGTCCAAAATGGTGTAGGGTTTCCCTGCCTAGGCAGGTGGACTAGAAGACCTGCAAAGTCCCTTCCAACTCTTATTATTCTATTCTATTCATATGTTCTTCGACTTGGGTTGTTTGTAAAAATAATAAAGTTGGGATACAAATAAATAAAAATAAACACGCTTAACCAAAATTATACAAACCATATTATGGCTTAATGCACTGTGTAAATCAGTCCTTTACCTCCTGATTATGCAACATTAATTTGAAAGAGGGAATTAAAAGAAATAAAGTTAACTGGTGGTCATTTATAAAAGTAATAGAAATGTAATATTTCTTTTGAGTGGGCGGCCTCTTAGGCATGCCTACCTGGATACAATTTTCATATAATTATCTTTATTTCTGTAAGTACCAATGACTTGTTGCAATCTTTTGAAATTACTCATTGTTTGGAATTCTCTCCGGTTGGCTTTATTGGGGTGAGTTTTACACTACACTTAATAGGCTTGTATTTTGCTTTAATCAAGAAGAAGTTTGAATAGCTTACATTCCAGTCTACAATAAGAAAGATAGAACAATCATAAGAACAATCTGAACAATACAATAAATCATCATGCTTGAGGACAGGTTGAGCTTCAAGAGGCATTCTTTCTTAACACCTTTTTAATTCCTTCCTAGGACATTTTAAGGAGTAAAATCCTAACAAGAGGATAAAAATCTGCAGTTCACCAGGATGGCAGGAGCCTCAGTAAAAGTGGCAGTGCGGGTGCGTCCTTTCAATTCCCGAGAAATGAGCAAGGATTCCAAATGCATCATACAAATGACAGGAAACACCACAAGTGAGTAACTTCTCCGTCATTTTCTACTAGGTACTTCAAATTGCATTTGAGCCTCTTTTCTTCCATTTGTGATTAATATTAATCAGAGGGGATGTGAAAGAGTTTAGTTAAAGAGATTTTGTAATTTACTATACAGATAGTAGAAAAATTCAATCTTTTATAAAGCTAAACATTGCTTTACCAAGCATTGTCCTGTGGGGAAAATATGTAACTATTTTGATATGGTTGTTGCCATGATACCATTTCCTAATAATGGCAGGAAGTTGGATCAAATAGGAATCTGAAGCCTTTTTCTGCTTCATGTAGAGACAGTTCTAACTATAACATTATACAGTGCTCAGGCATAATTTTGAATAATTGTATTTTCTAAGTAGAACAGAATGATCAGGTTTACTCTGCAATATTTGAAGAGAGAGATGGGGTAGAAGAGTGATGACGAACCTTTTAGACACCGAGTGCCCAAAATGTGCACACACATGCCCAAACTGAAAGTTGCATGCGTGCGCATGCATGCATGCATGAACGGACATGCACGCATGCGCAGCAGAGACCCAAAGACCAGCTGGCCGGTGGAAGGTGGGGCATACCAACACCGGCAGTGCAGCAAGAAGTAAGATCTTTTTCTTTCGTGAGCTTCTGTTTTGTCGATTGTAGGGAAACAGAAGGTCACAAAAGAAATGCCATGGAGTTTTGACCTGGGCCAACGGTGCACGTGCCAGCAGAGAGGGATCTTTGTGCCACTTCTGGCACACGTACCATAGGTTCACCATCATGGGGTAGAAACTCCAATTTCCTGGACAGTAATTGGGAAGTTGTTGAAAATGAACCATTCTCCTTTGAGCTGGACATTTTTCATTTGGCAAGCATAATGTTGCAAGGTCATTTAGAGTTTTCCTCCAGCCTCTATATTAATCAGTTAATTAAACATCAGCATTGGCATTAATATTGACACTAAATAATCGCTATTAAGGTAAACCATAAAATCCATCCAAATTTGATAATTGCAGTTCCAGCTTCTGAAGTCTTGCTACTTTAACTTTATTTTTTTTCTAATATGACAAAGAGGCTTTATTAATCCATAACTCAATTGTTACATTCTGTAGAGTTTTCCAAGGTTGCACAATTATTAATTTGACTGCTGTAATTAAATAATCAATTCCTGATTGTAAAGCTCATTATCTGGTCCTCTAAATAAATGTAACAAGCTTAACTCTGGAGAGCATTTAGTTCTTTGTTTGGTGATAATATTTGTTTCCCCAAAAATTCTTCCTCTCCCCAGCCAGACATAGAAGAAGTAGGACAGGGCAGAAGAGTTGTGGGGTTCTTGATTTCTCAGTAAACCTCTTAAAATAATATATTTTTAAGACAATCTACAGTGTTGTTCCTGGCATCTGCAGACTGCGTTAACCCCGCAGACTGTGTTAACCCCACAGACTGCTGACTGCAAAACCTTTCCCCCCCTGCAGGACAAAGGCATCTAAAGCAGAGGAAAATAGTCGTTAATTCTTTCTGCTAGATACCCTTCCTTTTTGTAGTTTAACGGGCTTGCGGTTCTGTATTGAATAGGAATCTTCCACCATGGCTGTGGAGCATAATTAAAATAAAAAAATGGGTACAGGAAGAAGTACATCCTTGCATTGGTGGAGGCAAGACTAGGGAATGTCAGCACTGCAAATGCAAAGCTTTGTATGATTAATCTGCCAGCAGCCTGCATCATAAACTGCTCCTAGTCACAACTCCACACGTACATAATAAGTGGCTAAGGTACTTTGTGTTGGTAAAAAAACATTTTCTCCTTGCCCAGCTGAATTTCAGCTGCTCAGTTATTTTAGTGTATTTTATTAAATTAGAAGTAAAAGGAGTAAAAGGACCCTAAGAGGCAGATTGCTCACGTTTTCACCCTTACAGTGCCCAGACTTCATATAAGATTGACTGCTATTTGTGGAATCTACTATAGCCCAGTTTCCAGATAACTTTCAAAATTCTCTAATTTTTTAAAATTTTGGATCCCTGTTTCTTAGTAGGTAACTGTGGGCCATAGCGTTTGCTCAGCTTCTGATTCTGCCATTACTCCTTTATTCTAATGTTAGGCTATTCTTAATGCTATTTTCCTTTCTGTCACAAAGTGCCAGCTGTTATAATGGTATACTCCTAAAACCTTTTTATGCCCATGATGGTTTCTTTTGATTGAACGTCTAGGTTTTATGGCCAAGTTTCAGTCACAAGCTATGGCTTCTCAGATCTTCTTCTTTCCCTCTCTCTTCTCCCAGCTGCTGTAGGGACTGGACTTTTAGGCATATTGTATAACAGATAGGAGTGGAGGCTGATAGAAACAGGGAAATAAACAATTGAAGAAATTCTAGATTCATTTGTCTGCTTACCTGGCAGTTTTGAAGGGACAATAGAAATCTCTAGATTGTGGCCTGGCAACCCTATGCAGAGATTTATAAAGAAATATGATTACTCGGTATTAGGCTGTGCTTAATATTAACTAGAGAGGACTATTAAAAGAGTTTATCCGGTAGTGTGCTTTTACTATGGAAGTTATCACCAATTTTGTTTACTGCAAGCAAGCAATATTAGGAAACTGGAAAATAACTTCTATTATTTAGGGAGAATGAAGAGTATATCTGTCTTGCAATTGGGATATGGAAACACAGAAAATACAAAAGCTGGAAGTAAAATCAGAAAACAAACAAACAATCAAGTAAATATACTGTTCAACAAACACTGAATCAAATAATTATCTACATATTAGAAATGTTCCATCTAGAAATGATTACTCTAGATCTGAGACAGAATGGAGTGTTGATATCAATAACAACCGTATTTGCTTTGTGCCTATACAAGCCTTGGTAGAACTTAAGCAGAGAGTATAGGATTGGTATGGGATTTAGACATTCAGATAGGTAGAGACAAACTTTCCCATTTCCCCTACAGATTAATTGCTCTTTGCCCTTAGATATTTCCAAATGACTTCTATAAGATTCTGTGTGTCCCACATAGAAAAGTCTTCTCCCTAGCTCATATACTGTAAATGATCTTCCTGCTAAAATGACAGCTGATCAATATGCCAAACTTCTATGTGAAGGACAAGTATGTATTTGCTGAAACATAGAGGTTGAGCTCCTTCTGAAGTGCCCACTATACTCTCTTTGGTGTTCAAAGTTAATATACCCCCTTTGAGCCTGATATTCTATTCATGGAGATTGAGGTATCCTTACAATACAACCAATTTCAAAGGCAGTAGCAGAATTTTTTTCTACAGCCTTAACTTTGCCTGCAGATAACTGGCTATGAGACCCTCTAGCTTAAGTTGAGCCTTCAGAAACCATTGGGATTATTGCTGGTATACCACTTTTCCTGTTGCCAAACATCATCTCTGCTTCTGTTTTCCATTGCCAGCTTAGTGGTGGAGATCCCAAAGATTATGGTCCTTGGTGACTGTAACTTGCCTGGCAATGTTGAATCTGTGCTGGCTCATGAGTTCATGGCCTCCATGGCAACCAGGGACCAGTCACAAATGATCAAAGGTCCAATGCTGTCTGTGTGCTGATTTGGGGTGATTTTGGTTTTCCAAAGATCTCTGGGAGATGAAATACTAAAAGCAATGACTGTAGTGTTCTTGGAGAAAGACAGGAGTGAATCTGATTCAACATCTGGGCTTATGTCATTGCAATAAGGCTAGTGAGAATTTGCTATTGCTCCACCTTATTGTGTCAGCTGATAGCCATTCCTTACTAGTGGGATTAAGCACAGGATCATCTAGAGGGCTGTAGTGAGGAATATGAATGCTGACAGAGTCACTCAAATGTGGTCCAAGTCCAAGTGAGTTGTCCAGGGCCCAGTCTTGTGATATTATCTGAGCTTGAGTCTGAAACACCCATGGAAGTGGTCAAGGTCCTTATATTTGTTGGTTTGGGCATCTTTTTGTTAGATCCTGGTCCCTTATGGATTATTAAGGCAGTCCAGAAGATGACCATAGGGTGGGTTCATGCAGTGGTTTCATTCTCTTTGAGAGATGGTGTGATTCCACTTGTAGGAGGCAGTGGTATGACTTTTCTTCAAGAGGTCATCATAGAATCCTTCTGTGTTGGATAATTGTCAGCCAGCTTCCAATCTTTCCTTTTGGGGGAAAATTATAGAAACAGTGGTTGGACAACAGCTACAGAGGATCTCAGAAGAAATGTATTATATGAATCAGTTTCAGTCTGGTTTCAGACCGGGTACAAAATGGAAACAGTGCTAGATCTGATTGTTGATGACTTTGGTTGATCACCTTCTTGATGGTTGATGATCTATCAGCAGCTTTTGATGTTGTCAACCATAATACCCTTCTAAACTGGTTGTGGGGGGATTGTGGGGTTTAGGAGTAAGAGCCACTTACTCTAATGGTTCACATCGTTCCTCAGCAATTGGTTGAACTCTGAAACCTATTCTGTTTAACACCTATATGAAATTCTGGGCATGGTCATCTGCTAGTTTAGGACTCAGTATCATCAGTATAATGATCATGTCCATATATCTCTATATCTCAACATCGAACTGCACAGATGAAGCTGTTGATATGTTGACTAATTCAGAATGGGATGGAGGTTGTTCAGAATGGGATGCAGCAGACTTCGACACAATCCTGACAAAACCGAATGGTTGTCTTCCACCCTCTGGAACAGCATCTCCTCCCCTGACATAAGGGCTGTCTGTTTTAGGGTTCTGAAAAACTCATAAAACCTGGCTTTGGTCCTAGGCCTGGGGTTGATGTATTTATGTATTATTGTATATCTGGGACCTCTGCTTTGTCTCATTTATTTTGTTTATAAGACTGGTTTAATATAGTCTAATGTTTTATTGAATTGTCCAGTTTTGTATGCTGCCCAGAGTCCATTGGAATTGTACAGCTAATAAATATGAATTAATGAAATAAAATAAAATGCACACTGTTTATTTTATCCCTTATTAAATACTGTGGAGTGCAGAAAAAAAGGAAGAGGAAAATGAGA